ACAAGATTTCAGGACCTCCAAAATGTTCCAAATTATGATAATTTATTATTTTAGGACAACAGACTGCCAAATTGCAGAGGGATTGCTGTATTGTGGGAATCAGTATACACTGTACTGCCCTGATGATCTCTCCCTACATCAAGCATATATATATATATATATATATATATATATATATATATATATATATATATATATATATATATATATATATATATATATATATATATATATATATATATATATATATATATATATATATATAAAATAATTTTTGTTTCCATTTCATGGGAAGTATACCAACAATATCACTGAAATTTAAGTTGCTACTGTAGTTGACCTTTACATTTTTTGGAGATAAATATTATTTCTGTTTATCATTTCACTCATTTCACACCTGTATGATACACAAGACCTACAATAAAGTTGTCATACAGATTTAAAATTGGATAAGCATGCTCATAAACTATGCAGTTACAGTATACTATACAATGTAGGTATATGGTGCACATAAACCATGGGAGTGTAAAGTTTACTGTGTACCAAGACAGTGCAGGTAAACAACAGTGGTAAACAGTGCGGCAACTTAACCAAGGATAGCCGTCAAAGTTATCAGGTGCTTTTTCCAGGAGGGTCTTTTATTAACATAAAAATCATTTAGCACCTTTGCATCAGAGAAAGAGGACTCAAAAGAAATACAGTAACTGAAAAGGTTACCAGGCCACTAACATGACAAAAAGACACTGAATCTTGCCTTAAACTGGACCATTGTCCAACTTGCAGTACCGGTAAACAAAAGTTTGGACTACATGTGTGACCTACATAATGCAGTAAACTAAGTGGCTGAGACAGGTCACATGACAGCTAATGAGCAACTTGCTGGCTAAATCATCTGGACTCCTGCTACACTCAGTAGATCTGAATCCTGTTTATTACGATATGTGTTTGTGCAGGGAGAATTGTGTTAATACATTCACCAAAATGTCATTCAAATGTAAAGTCTATGGGGTCATTTTACAGAGACAGAGAACAGGAATTTTCCAAAGGTGGGGACATACTGTACACACATGCACAGACATAATTATTAAGAGGCTTTGACTTCCCAGACAAACATAATTCCAGCCAAGAAAATGTATAAACAAGATGTGTAATATACTGCTGACCCAATATTTCTACTGAACTTAGCTAGCTACAGTAGTATTACTAATAATACCATCATTGATTGAAGCAGATGTATGTTCAGACATTTGTAAAGTTGGTCAAAGACTGCTGAATGCCAGATGTGGGTGGAGTGTTTCATACCCAACAGATTTTGTTTTTAATTTGAGCTGAAATGATGCAATTTGAAAGGTTTTTGTCGTAATTACTGTACAGTTGTCCCTCAGTTAACGAACGGTCCAATTAACAAAATTTCGGTTAACGAATTAGCTCCAATAAGGATTTTCAGTTCGATTAACGAAAGCCTTACGAGAAACATGTTTTATTATGCGCATCAGCTGATCGGCTAGTCCGCCAATACAGTAATAGGTTCTATGTTTACATTTATTTCCAGTGGAGTAAATATCAAAAAGGTTGTGCTCTTTAATATTTTTGCATTTTTTATATTAAAATTATTATTCATTCTAAAATTTAGTTAACATATTGATAATAGATGCAGCACAGGGAACTAGTTTTTGTGCGCCCACCAGCCGCTTGACTCACCCGCCAAAGCTTCTCTGTTTAACTTTGTTTGCAGTGGAGGAAGCATCGAGTTTGTTGGTCTCCTGAATATTTTTACATTAAAATTATTAGTCTTTCTGAAATTTAGTTAACATATTGGTAATATATAGCGCAGTGCAGTGTTGATTTAAATAAAATAATCTTTAATTACAGCTAGTGAACTTAAAATTTTATTGGTGAAATTACTGCATCAAGCATGGGTCCAAAGAAATCTAGAAAGGCGATTTCAATTCAAGTGAAACAGGAAATTATTAAGAAACATGAAGCAGGCATTAGAACCAATGTACGGAGTCAGTCCAGAGGTTCCTGACATTAGTATTATGGAAGGTGACTTGCCTTCCAAGAAGCATTAAAATGCTTCTCTTCTCCTCCACCCCCACTTCCTTCTATTCCTCCAACCCCCTCTAATTCCCATCATCATCATCATCAACCAGCAACATTCTACGTACACATCTCAAAGTAAGTGTACAGTACTGTACTGCACTATACTGCATTTTGTTTATACTTTGTATGTACTTTTCTGTGAGTTGGAACCAATATCCCATTGAAATAATAGATTCGGTTAACTAATGACTCTGGAACCAATTGTGTTCGCTAACCGAGGGACCACTGTATTGTAATTTTCTTCAATTATATTGAATATACAAAACTATGAATTCACTGTCTCTATGGATTAAATATACCTGTACACTGTACGTCCTGAACAAATGTATACTGTTCAAAGTAGTTGGTGGGGAAGGAAGGAGGTACTGTAGGCAGTAGTGGATGGTGGAACATTTGGAATTTATCTCCAATCACTCATCAGGGGTCCTTGAAATTCTGGTTATCAAATTATTGACTTGTTGAGTATGTATGTTTAAGTTGCCCAGTCTATATGAAAATTAGAAAACAAAAGGCAAAGAAAAACACTAACAAACTAATAGCCATATCATTCAAATCAGGTAAAATCCCTCAAGACACACAGTAAAATTATACAACCCCTTCTTGGCTCAGCTCTTGAACACTAGGAAACAGAATATCCCTCATATAGTACTAGAACAAAGAGAAAACACCATCATAAACAACCACAACTACTGTACTCTACAAGACTCCCCAGAGACCATCAGATGACCCACATTTCATAACTTGACACAGTATAATACACCCGCTGTATGCAAACACAATCTGAAAACTGACCATCTTCCTATTTTCCTCATGCAACAACTTGAAACAAATTCCTGCCAAAAAAAAAATAATCATACAATAAATACTAGATATCATAACTGGAGTTCACCCTTAGACATATACAGTCTCTCCTCGACTTACTACGGGGTTCCGTCCTACGACCAGGTCGCAAGTCGAAAATAATACATAGAAATTCTAAAATGGATGTCTTTTTCTCTTTAGCACCACGAGAACTCTCACTTTACGCTTGCCAGCCATTTTAAAGGGAATTACAAAAAAAAAATTGTCAGTACACAGTGTGATCACTAATGTCGGTACTAGAAATTAAATAATCTGAAAAATATTTTTTACGACCACGGCAGTCGTATGTCCGGGTTGTCGTAAGTCGAGTATGTCATAAGTCGAGGAGTACCTGTATATAACAAGCCCTCTACTGTGTCAACCTAAAATCTTTCCAATCCGCAGAGAATCGTGGCACATTTCAACAACACATTAATAAAAGCAAGTACAGTAATCACACTAACCCCAACAAACACAAAAAATTAAAGAAAAAAAGGAAGAAATATACCTAATATATCAAAGACATAAACCTACTACTGCACAATACTGAACCTGCACAACAAACAACTCGGCCAGCACATTAAACATGGACACCGTCACTACAATAAACAACAACATCAATAATTATGAGACCAAATGGCAAAATTGGTTAAACTTTGTATATAATCTAAACCTCAAAACCACCAATAGAAAGTTCCGAAGAACCATCATACTACTGGACATGTATCATTACTAAACCCAGGTGTTTCCATTCCCAAGAGGGAAAGGATCTAATGAATTACTGTACAGTACTTCTCATCCATGTTACAAAACTTTCTTCCCAATGAAAAGGATAGTTACTGTAGTTACAAGGAAAAAAATATACAGTACACTGTACAGTGTATGTTGTACATCTGATCACTATCCCATATTCTGTAAACAAATCTACAATATTTAGTTATAGAGTATTAATGAGCACAGTAAGGAGGAGCCTGATGACAAGATATTGAGCTGGTCTCTGCCAGTAATTCTGACAACTCACTATCTGCAAACTGCACATTCTGTTAGTCTAAAGAATATAATTGCCTGCAACCTCTTCACTTTCTTCTCACTTTTATCACTAACACTCAATGCACACTTAGGGACCATAGTTAAAGGCAAAATCAACTGTTATTATAGTAAAAATATGTAATAACTATCCAGTGTGCAGAACAGCAAAATATGTCTGCACGGTACGAGATCACAAGACAGAGAGCGTGGCGGGAGGGTGGATGCTGCATGGATGAATACATTGGAACACGGGAAAATTCATTGTCGCGGTTGGTGAAATGGTACACAGGGTAAAAACCGTGGATTTAGCAAGGGACTACTATATATACTGTGTTAATATAAGGCTTACGACCTATTTATGTAACTTAGACAAGTTATTTTCCTTTGGAGGCGTCTTTTAAGAAATTGTAAGTCGTTGGAAAAAGATTCTGCCAAATTTCCTTGGAGGAGATTTGTTTTCTCTTAACCTCCCCGTGTTATAAGTGCCCACTAAGATCGTAAGAGCAGTACAGTACTGAACAATATGGCTTATACAATATTGATTAATGTTAAGTCTGTAATCATTTTGAGACGAAGGATAAACCAAATTTACTTGAACAAACCTGGTTGCAAATATTGTATATGTATGTGCAGTATACTTAAATCCATTTTGTAGCATTTGTGTAAGTTTACTGAATATTGTTTTCCTATACTGTACAGTTGTGTACATTTCTTTATATTTGTGACATCACATTTCTTATTGTACAGTGTTTTTTCTCAAGTGAAATATACATGTGATACCCAATGATTCATTTGCCATAGAACACTTCAAATTTTTTTTAGTGTTTGTTGATAATGTCAAAAAAAAAAAGTTTTCTTAAAATGACAGTTGGTACTGTAGCTGGTACTATTCTGTAGTCCAGCGTCACTGTGCGAGTCATTGTTCTATTATTTCTTAATTTGTAAAATTTTTGCATTCTAGTGTACATTTTGTTTTATATACTGTACAGTACATATTGACCAATTATGATATCTTAATTATATTGCAGGTAGGAGAGAGAATACGAGTAATACTGGACTGTGATGACAACACATTAGCATTTGAAAAGAACTACGAGTTCCTAGGAGTTGCGTTTAGAGGTACAGTATGCATGTACAATTTAAGGACACAGTAGATGTATAGGAGTGAATATTGTGGCATCGCTGGCTCAAAGTTCTTATAGAAAAGACTTCGTACATTTCCATGCTAAAACTCTAGTTTGTAATTAGGTTCACCAGCATACTGTACCATTTGCTGCTGACTTGTTTGTGCACTTGTATCACAAACAAATGTAGAAGTCATTTTATAAACTGAAGTTAAAGAATGTACTGTAAATGCTAGCCACTGTAATTGCATATCAAGTGGATCTTCAGTGTAGTTATTAGAACTACACGCACTGGCTTCAGTTTGTGTGTTCATTTAATTGGGTCTTGATTTCATAAATCATACTGTATTTGATAAGCCATTACAAGTATTGTGAGAAAATTACTGGTACAGATATTTGGTTCCAATTAAAACTCTTACGATACAGCATATTTTTTACCATAGCAATGACCGTTTCTCATATATGGTAGGTTTTGCATCTTTGAAGCATTACTTGACATTCTTATTAATATTGATTTTTCTTAAATGGCTTCCCTGTACATATACAGTATTTGTTTTGTCATTCTAACTGAACTTTGCATGTGATAGCCTACACATTTATCCAGGAGTTTTCTCCCTTAAATATATGTTTGTTTTGTTTCACTTGTGACATCCAATACTAATATACCTGGCATTAACAGTCAGCAAAATAAAAGAATTTATAGACTAAGGAATATGAGGTACTTTGGCCATATAATTATTGGTAAAGGAATAATGGTAAAAATATTAATGGGCCAAGCTGAAAGTAGGAGGGCGGGGGGACGGCAGAGATTGAGAAGGATGCGTGAAATTAAAAGCCGAGTCCCCAAGGAGATGTAAGATGTAGGCGGATTGTAAGGACAGTCCCAAAGCATTGGGAGTGTAGCTATGGTTGCCAACCCTGAGGCTTGAGGGTGGCACTTTTGATTGATGCTGTTGACTTATTCTTATTCTGTAACATGTACATTACTTATAATATCTGGGATTTTCAGGACTACCAGACAAGCAGTTGTACCCTTCAGTGTCTGCAGTTTATGGTAACACAGAGGTTTCTATGGTATACTTAGGGCCACCGCTGGATGGCTGACCCGCTGCATTCTTAGCACAGACAATGCCAGACTGCAGAGCGCAACATGGTTCCTCGCTCATCTCAAGGGATTGTCCGCCCAAAGTGTCTCATGTGTTGTGACGGGTGTTGTGGTGAAGGATATGGAACAGTGGCTAGCTGCTCCTAATGACACTTTGTGTTAAAACTTTCAGTGAGAGAAGCTTAAGAGAAAAACCAGACCAAACATGACGATATAGCCTTGATAAGCTATTCATCATACAGTGGTAAGAGTATATTTCTTGCTTTAAACACATAGGAAATAAGAACAAGGATGGACTTCCTAAGGTATGAAGTGAGTGTTTCATTCAGAAATGCAAGCTGTCTATGCCTTATTCACAGATTTTGAAAGGGATTGGTACATGGGTAGAAATTGGAACATTGTCACTGTTCAGCTACAATGAGTCAAAAAGCATGCCTAACAGAGTTTATCTCTGCCCTGTATGCAATGTGCCTTGAAAAACATAATAATAATGGAGTAAAATTTGCTTTAATATCACTTTTTATCAAATTAAAGCTTCTCAATTATTTGTATATATATATATATATATATATATTAATTATTAATTACTTACTTTTTAGGCAGATTAAAATGATTTCAGATTAATCATTAGGACTCCATATTCTCAAAAAGAATAGTAGCTCCCAGGTTTAATGCAGTGATGGTGGTTTTTAAAATAACAACAAAATGATGTTGCCAATCTGAATGTACAACATAAAAAGAGTTAATTACTTTTAATAAATTGGTATCATATGAGTGTTTCTAGTTCACATTTTGTGCTGTTTTCAAGCTCACCTATTGACCCCTTACCCTACCATGAATAAGGCACTCCAGTCAAGGATCACTGATTCTGCAGTTGATTGAATTCATTCCTCAAATTCCCACCTTTTTGTGTTCATTCACTAGTGCTTTAATAGGCACAACTTCTAGTCATTTACATAGTATAGGGCAATCTGTTAATACAAGGATTATTGGTGGAGAAATGTGTATAATTGGAAATCATGTTATTTATTTACTATATTTTGCAAGCTCCAGATTTCCAAATATATTGTTCCATTTTGTGCATCAAAGACTGAGTCAAGACTTTGCTTTAGTTGTTGCATTATTGCTCAATCTTGTTTTAAAGTTGTTCCGATTCATTCATACAATTTACTAGTGTTGAAAAAGACAATACTATGGTGCTTTCCAGAAACATTCCACTATATTAGTTGGATATGACTATATTACCTTACTTTGCAGGTCATTCCACCTGACTAAGGACCACCAATACATTCCTCTTTCTCCTAAGTTTCAAGTGTGCCATGTTTTTATTTATTAACTGGGAAGATTTTATGTTCTAAGTAGGTTATGCAAGTCAGGGTACAATGCCCCAGGTGCAATGGCTGTAGTAAAGGAACACATTTTAAGAGATTGTGTAAATGATGTGGTCTTATTCATTTGAATACTTCATTGAATTGTCCATCATTTTAATTATAATTAATGAAATATTTGGAGTTAACTTGTTTGTTATATCCCAGTGAAGGAGAACTGACTTTGATTCAATGTTGTGATGACAGACCAATACTATTTGTTTGTTCAAGTGTTTGTGAGTATAAATCATGTTGCCAATAATTTATTTTTTGTTATTCTGTTATTTATTTTTTGTACAGATAAATATTATACACAACCACGAGATATTATTTGTGATGAGTGAGCAACAAATCTTCCGTAGATAATGTGTGTGTGTGTGTGTGTGTGTGTGTGTGTGTGTGTGTGTGCATAAACCTTAGCAAAGGATGAACAAGTACAACACATAAAACTCAGTGCAATTACTACAATTACTACTTACATATAAGGCAACCCAAGCTGTTGCTTGTTTATTGTGATTTTTCAAAATAACTGTGTCTAAGTCATTGTACATAAATGAGATGCCATTTTTAAGAACTTCCAAGATGTGATGGTAATATAGGACTTTGAAGATCAATATGAAGTGCTAGCATCTCTTAAGCTTCATGAATCAATGCAATTGTTACAATTATTTTTTAACATTAGTATTTTATATACACTTTGTGGGTTTACCCCGGCATTTAGGGTGTGCTTTATGATATACAGTACTTTATTTTCTATATATATATATATATATATATATATATATATATATATATATATATATATATATATATATATATATATATATATATATATATATATATATATATATATATAATGCTTTTTACTGTACCACGGCAGTCAATTTTGAAGCCATTCCTAATGCTTGAGTGATTCAGGTTTCAGTGTGTCAAAGTTGAATGTAAGTCTAGTTTTATTTGTTGATGAATGCACTGTTCTATTCACTTGGTTTCTTTATAGTTCATGTAATATGGCACTGGTAATGTACATAATCTTTAAGATCTTTATCTGACACTTGCAGTTATTTTGCGAGTTGTCCACGAATCTGATGCTTTTGAAATAAATTATATAAAATATACTGTACTATGTCTGCCAAGTAAATGGGTTTGAAATAAAATACTGCTAATTATATAAGCCATTAGGTCTCTTCATTGTACTTTCTGGTAACACTAAGGTAATAGTAAATTTATGGAAACTTTCTTCTATTTATTGGGCATTCATTCTTGTAGTAAATGTTTTGTTGCATTGAGTGTTAGGGTCTGTGGTATATGTTGTGTTATTTTGTCATGGGTGAGAAGCTGTAATAACAAAATAAGATAATATATTGTCATTGGTTAAGTTTCTGGAGGAAGCGTGTGTAGATGCTTCGGTGATTGTATTTAAATATTTTTTATAGTCCTGGAGAATGATTTGTAAATGGAGTGAGTGGAATATATTATTTACGGTAGCCTAATCCTCTTTACAACAATTTACTCCTCATACACGTATTTTGTATGGTGTCATAGTCTAGGATAAATACTGTTCAGTATTTTGTTATGTTAGCTAGTATTGCCCAGCATGTTCACTTTTGTAAATATATTTAATATTTGTAAATATTTGTTTATCTTTCATTCTAGCACAGAAAGCAGGGATGACACATGTATTTTGTGCACATATTAGTGTACTTTATACGCAATTTTCTGCTACTACAGCTGGTGCAGCAGCATCTGTGTAAACAGTGCCTGGATGCATTGTGACTTCTAAATTTTGGAGACATTATGTGGTACTGTATTCCTCAAATTCTTAATTGTTTTTATATTGACAATGAGAGCATTTTTATATATTGTGAGCTACTCAGCACCACAACCATCATATTTCATCGCCATTAAATAAAGTCAGAATCATTACCAATATCTTTTCCTTACTTATTATTATGTTTCATTTATTTTAGGTGCATTATGCATAATACAGAACAGGCTAAACCCTGTTATCTGTAACACCAAATTATTTTATCCTCAAATGTGTTTGTGGGATACAATGGCATCACACACCAGTGTATCTGTGGCTTATTCTTGTGATGGCAATAACTCTTGAAGGGGTTTACAGATGTTCTTGGAATAAAACAGGGAGATTGTTTCCCCCAAGACCACAGAGGAAACTAGTAATAGGCATGATCCTATTTGAATTATAAATTAGGCAGTTTTTCTTTCATGAAATTTCCATAAACTGCACCAACACTTGGTGAAGGGCTGTGGAGTTTAACAACAAGTCTTTTGTACTGATATCAGTGGCATGATGGAGGGCATTCTGGTGCACACTTACCAAGTCTAGTTATTTACTATACTGTACCATAAATGCAAGCCAATTCCTCAAACAATATTGTGTCCAACCATTTATATAGACAATCAAGATACTGTATGTATCAGAAACATAAACTATAATACTGTAATGTACTGTATCAGTTATTGGTCAATTATGTGCTCGAATTTTCCTATCTTTTAAGGCAGTGACCAATAATGTTACACTTAGGTTTTAGACTTTAGAAGCAGTAACCCTTAATTTTACATTTGAGTTTAATTACTGATATACCCTTGTGAGGCAATAACCAAAACTTATAGTACATGTGTCACTAGATGGAAAATTAGGTAAAACTCGTTAAAGAAATTGTGATACGAGATGGCAAAGAAAGATTAGAGTGAAATTAAAATAAAACAAACAAAGCAATATTTGAAGGATGGTGCTGACAGTGTAAATAAGAGAAATGGAAAACTAATGTACAGTAAACCTTTGCTACATCATGTTAATGTGTCCTGATGAAAATGACTTCATTAGCTGTGGACATTATTCCTATTGAATTTGTTTTATATTCTGTGGCCTAGTATTCCATGACCTCTACAGAGTGATTTAGGACACTCCTTGGTTGATACCTTTATTTTGGCTCCTGACTAGTGTTAAGTGAATGTATTAAGTGAAGTAATCTCATTATAACTTATATATTATATCTGGTCTACTCCAAAATACTCCTGGGTATGATGAAGTTAAAATGATGCAAGAAATAAATGAAAACTTAGTTTACCTAAGACTAAGAGCCATATTTTCACGTCAATGTTTTGATATGTTAAGGATGAGCAAAACAACTTTTCAACACCCAGACAGGTGGTCAGGTGTGTTGAGCTAGAGCGGTGGTTCCCCAAAAATACACCTGTACAGTAAGTCTTCGTATAACGTCGACCCGCTTCACGTTGTTTCGGCACTACGTTGCTAATCTTTAGATGCCAAAAACTCGTTTAACATCCCAATGAGTCAGTACAACATTGTTTTGCTTTGTCACAGACTATTTTTTACTGTACATCACCTCTCTTGTCTGGCCGCGCTAAGCTCTCTCGGCTCGGCGCAGTCTCTCAGTGACTCTCCACCCTCCTTCTCTTCCGCCCTCCTCCTCCGCTCCCGCCATGCACCTCCCCTACCGCCATCCGCCTCACTACCCACCACACACTCGCTCTACCACCTCCGCCCATCGGTGAGTACCAATACAAACTTAGTAGTTGTATATGTATGCACTATTTTTTATAGAAATGGCAATGATTTTCTGTATATGTAATGTATTTCATGGGGCAAAGGGAGGCTCAGGAACATAACTCTCGTATTTTATCTATTTCTTTTGGGGAAAATTGATCCTCTTAACATTGTTTCGTATAACGTCGCGTTTTTAGGAACATAACCCCGATGTTATGCGAGGACTTACTGTACTGTACAATGAAAATCCAACGTACAGTATTCCTAAAATTTATAAATTGCCACCAGACACTAACATAGGTTGCCATCTGCAAGCAAAATTGGTAAACATGCATAGTACAGTACCCTACTGTACTGTTGTTGAAGGACAGTAATAACATTATGACGTCAATGACCCCTTCCTCCCACGTGTGGCGAGGGTATCAGGTAATTGCCATACTGTATTTTCTCTTTTCCCACCCTAGTTAATATCAGGGATGTTATTTCTCCATTTTCCCCATCATTTTAGGCAACCAACATAAATTTTATAAATCTTTTGAGGAAATTATATATATATATATATATATATATATATATATATATATATATATATATATATATATATATATATATATATATATATATATATATATATATATATATATATATATATATATATATATATATATATATATATATACATATATATATATATATATATATATATATATATATATATATATATATATATATATATATTTTTTTTTTTTTGGGGGTGACCATGACGAGAGAATGTTTGACAATAAATAACAATAAACGACCCTCTAGGCTAGGGTCAATGGGTCAGTTGGGTCAGTTTACTGACTGCCGCACGAGGACAATGAGCCAGTATACTCAGTATAGTGGCCGCACTCTTCATTTTCATGCATTACAGTAAGTTCTCGTTTAACGTTGCCTCTGAAAACATTGTTTTGCTATAACATCGCTATTCTTTAGAAACCCACGATTCGGACAACATCCCGCCGATTCGGTATAACATCATCACGGACTACTTTGTACGCCGCATCACCCTCTCTCACCCAGACAGAGCGGGAGGAGGAGCCACCCTCTGGGTCTCAGCGACCCTATCCACTTGAACCACCCTCTCCTGCTGTCACTGGCGGGGGAGGGGCTAAACATTTTTCAATACGTATAACTAAGTTTCTATAATCATTTTACACTTTCTGGTGATCACAATTTATTCTATAACCCATGCCATATTTCATAGTTATTTAGGTAACTCGGTATCAGTTTACTCTTTCTTTCAATAAATCGACAAAGCAACTACCTATGTGTGTCATAACAGGACAGTTTCTACTTTCACAATATCACTTTGTCAAGAATACAGTATTGTGAAATTAGAAGCCGTCCAGTGTAGAGCAACAAAGATGATACCTTCATTACATAACAAACCCTATGAAGAGGAGTTGGAGAAATTAGACTTGTTTTCATTAAAGAAGCATTGATTCCGGGATAGATTAATCGAATGTTTGAAAGTATTCAAAGGGTTCACCAACATTCAAAAAACTATTTATACTGAGAACGTTCATCGAGAAATAATGGGTACAAATAGACTCTACGAAATATTTTTTTCACTAATGACATTGTTAGAGAGTGAAATAAGCTTCCAGCTTCAATTATTCAAAGCAATATGATTAACAATTAAAAAAACACCTAGATCGCTATTTCTCTGATGAAGATATTCGCTATTTTTTATTTATTTTTTTTTGGGGGGGGGACCACCTTGAATGGACCTAAGTGTCTGTGTGGTCTGTGTTTCGACATAAATCTATGTGTATCTCAACAGATACGTCATACATCTTCTTTCTTTGCTTGTAGGAGCTTCCATTTGTTTCTCATTTTCTCGTAATGTGATTGGCTCAAGTCATATGATGCCAGTGCTTGGTATTTTCCCCAAGATCTAGGTATTTTGGCTTAAGCCTTTGGATCTAGTTTTATTTATGAAAATATAGGTAAAAGTATTCTTGACATTTTTAGTTTTATCATAATATTTAACATTAATCGGAATTATTACTATAAAATAATACCACTCATAACTGGAAATTACTTGTAGCTCATATAAGGGACAGCACACAATACATGAATGGTTCTTGTCGGAGGAGCAACTGGAGGCCTACCCTTCAACGCCAAGCCGACCTACTTGTTCACCTGCCTGACCACCAGAGTCATACACCTAGAAGTCCTCACCTCACTAGACACCGACTCGTTTGTCATCACCCTGACAAGATTCACCTGCTGCAGGGGACCTCCCAAACGTATTTGGTCTGACAGGGGAACCAACATGATTGGAGCTAGCCGAGAGTTACGAGATGCGGTGAGCGGCTGAAACAACAGTGACAAGGTCGGGAATGCCCTCCTACAGAAACAAATAGAATGGCAGTTCAATCCCCGACAGCATCTCATATGGGCGGGGTGTGGGAGCGACAAATCCGCACTGTAAGGAAGGTCCTCCAGGGAGTGGTGGGCACCCAGACTTAAGACGATGAACGACTCAACACTGTTCTGCGCCGTAGAAGAGATCGTCAATGGAAGGCCCATCACCCCAGTGTCTGATGACCCAAAGGATCTAGAAGCACTAACGCCGCTTCACATACTACGGATGAACCCGGAAACACTGCCCACCGGAAGTGATTGGTCCGTGGCAGAAGCATACCAACGAATATCTCCCGACACTACGTCACCGACAAAAATTCTTCAAAACTCGCCGCAATCTTCACGCTGGGGATATCGTAATCGTTTCTAGACAACCCCTCCCCAGGAGTCAGTGGATGATAGGGAGAGTACTGGAGGCACTACTGAGTGAAGATGGCCTGGTGAGAAGTGTCTAAGTAAAGACAAAGGACTCAGTGTTAATACACCCAGTGATGAGACTCTGCCTGTTGGAAGGGATCGGAGAGAATGAATCTAATGGTAGGCCGTGATTTTGAGCGAAGCCCGACGGGGAGTGTTATCGTCACTCACAATTGTGCGCACTGGCAACATGTGTAAGTGAAGATACAGGCAGAATAGAAAGAATAAGAGGGAGAGAGGAAAAAGTGAAGAGATGTTTTCAACTATGATAGCTGACTAAGCGAACGAGGCCCACAGCTGCTCATGAGACAGCCTGAGGGCAGACTATCACCTTCTCCTGTAGAGGCAACATCTTGATTCTGGTCAGCCAACAATTCTCCTGCAGGACATCGTAATTGTTCTTGTTGGTCTACCCCTAGACCTGTAAAATATGAGTGTGATTGTGAACTGTCAAATCCTCTGAAAACACTAAACGACTTTAATAATTGTAGCTATGTACGGCCACTCCTTGACTTACGACCTTCTCGACTTACGACCACCCGGACATATGATCGCCCCAGTC